GTTGTTGATTTTGGAAAACACTACTGAGGCTGCCTTGCTTCCCTTCAGAAAATCTACATTTTAACCATCTTACATGACATTCTATGTTATATTGACTTTATCATATGAAAGTTTATGGTGCATTTCATCAATTAATAAATAAATGTGAAAATCGTAATTTTCAACACAAATAATAGTCTCGCTACCTTAAATGATTCATCATAGTATAGTATCCCAATAATTCAGAACAAACATAAGTACTTATTTTAAAACTACATATGATGTTTTCACCCTCTAAACCCAAATGAATATTTCAGATTTATATTAGAATTTTGTGAGCAACAGCATAAAATATAATCACATGGTAAAAGTTTAGAAAATCTGGTGATAGTTAGTTTGATGGTAGCCAACTATCTCAGTTAGATGTTGAATTTTTTGAGAAAAATTAACATAATATATATATTATATAATATATATAAATGTCAAATATCTGCAAAAATGTTCATTGAATAAAGTCAGTTTAAACCTTGCGATTAAAGGTTTCATACATTTCATGATAAATATTGATTCCAAACTCAAACGAATTAAAAAACAACATGAATTAAAAGAACATAAACAATGAAAGAAAGCTTAGAAAGAACTTCCATGTGCTATTGGAGACACATTAAAAATTAAATCGATATTACTTGTGCTTGAGATATTGATGGAAAAGCTAAAAACTAATTATGCAAATCAGAAAATTAATATGAACAGATTGAGTGTAAAACTAATGAGGTCTGCACAGACCATCTATGTACCAAGTTTTATTGAAATGTGATTAGAACCAAACAAAATTATGAATTATTATGCTGATTATTGAATTAATATGAACAGATTTTAACCCACAATTATTCAGGTCTGTTTATTGTCCTACAGCATCCATGTACAAAGTTTCAAATGTGATGATTAGTACTTGAGATAACAGTGTGAATGTTAGAAAGTGGTTAATTATGCAATTTAGGTGATTATTATGCATAAATATTTACCCAAAACTAATTAGGTCTCCGCATAGTTCTAGATTTGCTGAAATGTGATGATTAGTACTATAGATATCAGTGGAAAAGCTGAAAATTAAAATAATTATGCAAATTAGGTAATTAATATGCACAATTATTTACCCCAATACTAATCAGGTCTCTGCATAGTCCTAAAAGATCTATGTACCTAGTTTCATTGAAATGTGATGATTAATACTTGACATATCAGTGTAAAAGCTGAAAATTAACTAATTATGCAATAATGATTACTACTTGAAATATCAAAAGCAGGAAATTAATTAATTATGCAAATTAGGTAATTAATATGTACTGATATTACCTTTAAAAATATCAGGTCTGTGCAGTGTCCTATGACATCTATGTACCAAGTGTCATTGAAATGTGATGATTAGTACTTGAGATATCAGTGGAAAAGCGAAAATTGACAAATCATTATGCCAATTAGGTAATTAATCGCACAGATTTTTACCAAAAAAACAGAGGCATCTAAGCACAAAGTTTCATCAA